GAATATAAAACATGTTTTCAGTTATTTCACCTTTTTTTTGTTAAGTACATAACTCCACATGTGTTCATTCATAGTTTTGATGCCTTCAGTGAGAATCTACAATGTAAATAGTCATGAAAATAAAGAAAACGCACTGAATGAGAAGGTGTGTCCAAACTTTTGGTCTGTACTGTATGTAACTTCATTGTTTATGCTGCCCGTGTGCTCAGAAGCACACCAAAATTGCATTTGAGTAATTTCCGAGAAGTTATGATAAAATAAAAAAAATATTACAGACTATAGAATAGAACTGACAACCTCTCCAATGTCTCATGTCAGTTAATTAACACTATTTGTCAGCTTTTGATAATTCCTTTTTTTTTTTTTTTTTTTGTCTCCAGTTGAAAGTGGTGATTTGCTAAATACATTGTACAATAATAAATTAGATTAACTTTTGGTGTATAATATTGTTGGCTATATTACACATTTTAATTAAAAAAAATAAGAATAAAAGAAATAAACACCTAAATAGTTAATGGAAACATTTTTTTATTGATACTCCTCCTCTCTGACATACTAACACACACACACACACACACACACCCTGAACATGCGACTGAATGAATGAATGAACATTGGAAGCGGTTCAGCCACAGTCCCGTCGGCTGGCGCGGTAACTGTTGAGATTTGTTTTTTATTATTAACAAAATGTTTTTTTATTGACCGTATGAATGGTTTTGTTTTCAAATAAATATTTGGAAACGAAAATGTATGCTTTGGTGTACTTTTACAGAGTTTTGCAATATATATGTATAGCCACCTGTAGGGCCTATGTATCAAAATGTATAATTTTCAGCAGCGGTCTGCCGCGGTCGGAGGTATAAAGTTTAGTGTGTTTCATTTTAAAGGTTTCAGAAAACATACAAGACACATTTTTATTAAAAGTCATAGGAAGAGAAGCTTGTAGGTTTTATCTAAACAGAGTTATTTGCATTATAAAAACTGTCGTGGCGGCTCTAGGACAAGTGCACTTACATTGATCACTTCCATAAAATAAAACGAGAAATTGGAGAAGATTGAAAAAATTGTTAAAATTAAATTAGGGAACTGATCACAGATGTATTGTCTCTGTGTGTTTTTACATGTATTGTTGCTTCTAATTTGCAGCAATACTTTTAATGAAGTTGACATGTCATGACAGTCAAGAACCCCCCCTCCCTGAAATTCCCTGATCGCTTCAATGACGTCATCAAAGCGAAAAAGCGAGTCTGTTGATTTCTGTCACATTGACGAGCGATTGCAACTGAGCGATGAAGCGATATCAAAGAGGCAAACTGAGCGTCAGCGAAAAAAAAACAGTTCTGGTGTGAACACAGCTTTATTCAGTTCATACCCGTTCATCTCAAAATCCACACCCCTTTCAGTACTTGGCTAGATATGGCTATAACATTAAATGGCTTATTTAGGTGACTTAAGTACTCTTTGATATTGTGAAAGTTAGTGTATAAACTCCTGCTGTTAAAATGGATGATTGATAACCCCTGACCTGATTTTGTATGCTTGTTGAATTGATCCTCTGAGTAGTAGCTGCAGTTATTGTTTAGATTGTTAAAATCATTGTTTTCAGGGTCAATGTCTCAAAGTCCTACAGATTATGGTCAGTGAATTTGAATGTTTTAAAGTTCAAATCATTACACATATCTTTATCCTCATTTCCATATAATGTACCGTTTACACAGTCAATCTCTTCACCAGAATCCATAGTCATTCAGTTCAGAAAAACACACACAGTGTTAATCTAGTTAGCAGATTTCATGTTGTGTGCTCTGGGGTCATTGGTAGTTGTCCAGCTCTTCTATGTATCTGATGTTCAGTACTTTGGCCTCCTCAGGTGACCCGTTAGGCTTGATAAATATCTTACAGTTTGTTGTCCAGGTAGACTGGATTTTCCTCTGCTTCCTTAGAAAGTTTTTTTTCTGTTAGGTGTTCATTCACAAAAACATCAGTTACCCTCAGTTTTATTCCTTGTCTCAGGAGTGCGTTTTTGTGTTTTCTGTTGGTGAAGCGGATTATTATGGCAGGTTTGTCACTTTTGTTTTTTCCATGGTAGAGGATGACATGCCTCAATGTCTGTGCTGTCAATGGAGATGCCTTTGCTGTGGAAAAAGGCAGTCACCTGTTGCTCCACAGACCCCATGTCAGGTTCTGTTGGTTCCCCCCCGTCTGCCCCTGCCACTGCCCTGGCGTAGGACTGGGGTCTGGTCTCCAACCCACTAACAATAATGTCATTCATGGGGGTATACTGCTCCAGATCTGCTACACGGCTCTCCAGACTGGCAATCCTCTTCTCCTTCCCCTCGTTCTGACTTTTCAGAGCCTTGATTTCACTCATCCATTATCATTTTCTGCTGCTTAGAAACAGTAGCAATCTCTCCTCCGACATGAAATCAAGCGCCCTTTTTATCTCCTCGACTTCCTCGTTCTTTTTAGGTGGCATTACTGTTGTCACGGGTAACCATGACGCGCACGAAGGCGACCAATCGCAGTGCTGAGCGGCAAAAACAATCTCAAAATACGGAAGAGCAGGAAGCGAGTAATTAGTAACTGCCACTTATGTGTGTTTTTAATACTGTAACAAAAACACAATGCTGCTCTGGTTTGACCGATTTATGCCATACACTTCAGTACAGCCGACTCGTCGGACACACACACACACACGTACACACACAGATCGGGCTGGGAGCTGTGAAGCCCCCGACCTCTCAGAGACTAACCTGTCAGACAGTAATCCCTGTGAAGGGACACCAATCCGCGGAACCACAGCGACCGTCAACCACAGCTAAACCGACCACACGTGAGGCAATATAACTTACCCCAGTGAAGTCGACCGCCAGGAGAGGAGCAGCTATCTGGCTAGTTAGCAAGAGAGGCAACAGGCAGCAACCACCACACTCTAGCGTTGGGTGAGAATCCTTTTTCATATCCTCCTGGAACTCCTACACCAGCTTTAGTGCCCAGTGTAGCCACAACCCATCTTACCAACCAGTATCTGTTTGGTGCTTAAGGAGACCCCTGGGCCAACCAAGCCTGAAAGGCTCCGATGCTTTAACTTGATGGCGTCCTTCATCAGTGGTGTCCACCAGCAGTTGCTTAGGTTACCGCCTTACACAGTTGACCTCCTGACCACAACTCTTTGCAACGGCCTCCACAATGGAGGTTTTGAACATAGCCGACTTGGATTCCATGTCCTCATTTTTCCCCAGGATGCATGGATTTTTTTTTCTGGAGATGGGTGTTGAGGACCTCACAAACAGGGGCCTCAGTTCCCAGTTCACCCTCACTACACATTTTGGTTTTACCAGGTCTGTCTGGCAGTCTTCCCTGACATCTTATCAAACTCACCACCATGATCTGTTGACAGTACTGCTTAAATTTCACCCAAGTGTTTCAACCTACGGCCACAGATTGTCGAACATCAATCACTGGCCTAGAGTGTTGTGGTACCCAGTACACTCATAAACCACCCTATGCTGAAACATAGTGTTTGTTATGACCAATACATGGATAGCACAAAAGTCCAACAAAAAAACACCTCTGGTAAACAGGCAGGTTGTTGAGCTGTTGCTTAGTGCATTGGCACAAACAACAGTCAGGATCCCCTGGCAGTGCATTGCTGTATCAGAGTTCTCTCTGGGGAACAAGAGGGTCACCTCTATGTGACTGCCAGTGACTGAGAGGAAGTGTCTGAGTATCCCCACATCTGCTCAGCACCTCCAACCCTCCAGAGTCCAGAAATGGTCCAACCCTTCTCCAGGAGCTTGGTTTCAGAACCAATGCTATGCCTAGAGGTAAGCCCAGCTATTTCTGGTTGGCACTGCTCCACTTCCTGCACCAGTTTTGGTTCCTTCCCTGCCAAAGATAAGCCTTTTCACATCCCTAGAGTCTTCAGTGCCTTCGGTGCCACCCAACCCCAGTACTTACCCATGCGAGTGGTGGGTGGGCCCACAGCTACATGTTGTTCTTTCGGGCTGTGCCTGGCAGAGTCCCATGGGTCAATGTCCAGCTACCAGATAATCCCCTCTCATGTATGGCTCCAGCCCCAGTTTCCCTTTTCCGGGCAAGATGCTGAGTTCTTTTTATGCTTAGTCATGTAGGGTCTGTGAATTGCACTTAATCTGGCTGCTCGACTGGGACCACTTTCCCTTGGCAGACCCTATCAGGAGCTATTGCCCTCAATAAACACCGAATATGTTACTGTATACCCTAAACATTTGTAACAGCAAATATGTTTTGAAGGAAACAATGCTGCCTGGATTACATTCTTTAGTAATGTAATGAGGAAAAGTTATTTGACATGTGGCGAGTCAGAAAACGTTGATACTTAATCTATCAGTACAGTGTTGACTAACAACGAATTTAATTTGTTGTCCACTAAAATATCTGATCTTGCAGTACAACATCCACTCTTGGTGACCACAACATTATTAAACCTCTTCATGGTCATGTTTAGGCACTCATACTAAGAGAGGGAAAGATCATGGATAGGTCTTGGTTTAATTCAGAAAAAGTCCAGAGATTTGGAAAATAAATTATTAGTAATAAACATTATAACTCTTAGGCAGGATTTGCTTTAGAGGTGTTGGTCTGCGTTTTTTTTAACTTCAGACAGTGCCAGGGAAGCTGTTTCCCACTGCTTCCAGTCTTTATGCTAAGCTAGGCTAACCACGTCTTGAATCCTGCTCTGAATGTAACATTGACTTCTTATGGAGGTATTTTAGTTGATATCCAGAAAGCATATTGTTGTGTGCCTCATTAACCTAACTGTTCTCAATACATCTTATTTACATCATGCCACATTTCAAACATAGCTACAAGTATGATACAGTTATTTAAAAAAAAAACCAATTCATCCAACATGTGCTGTTTATTGATAATATTAGTAATGCAGAAAAAGATCTGATGAACTACATGTCATATGAAAATAATTGTGTATGTGGTCTAACTGTGTTTGTTTTCCACAGGGGGACCAAAGGCAAAGACATCAGCACTATCAAGTCACTGAGAGTTCTGCGAGTGCTCAGGCCTCTCAAGACCATCAAACGTCTGCCAAAACTCAAGGTTCAGCACCAGTGCTGTTTTTTGCTTTTTAATTTATTTAGCCAAGTTACTGGGGCTGAGATTAAAGGAATACTTCACCCTTCCAAAGACTGTTTAAATAGTAATTACTCACCCCGTGTTGTGTTGAACTTGGAAAGAAAACATTTGATGAGCAGAAAATCCAAAAAAGGAAAGTCTTTATGTAGTAAAGTAAAAGGGATCTGCATTTATTAACAGCAACTCAATTTTAAAACATCTCTTTACATACTCTGACACAACTCATGCAGTATAGTCCAGGTCTCATTCATCCAGTCATATGTTCAGTACTTCCCAAAGAGAACGTTTTCCAATGGGACCGGACTAAGGAAAACTTATCTATGCTCTCTTTAAAGTCAGATGTCATTGACAAAAACAGCAATTTGCCTCGCTAAACACAGGAGCTGCTGGTCTGCTGCTGCCTGAAGTGGGTCGGTTGTGGTTACTGTGTGACTTTGCTGAATCTGAACTAAGACACCAAAGTCGTTCTGTCAAAGGATTCTGGCTTTGAAGAGAGCATAAATAAGTTTTACTTTTAGTTCAGTTCCCTATTGATAAAGGGTGTCTGTTGGGTAAGAACTGAGCATATAACTGGATATATTAGACTTAAATTATACTGCATGAGTTATGTGAGAGTTTGTAAAAAGGATGTTTTGATAGCTTTGCTGTTGGTGAACAAGGACCCCTTTTACTTCGATTCATCATGAATCAGTGGAGCTCTATGGCACAAAGGAATACTGTGAGATATAAGGTTTTGTATATACACACGCAGTACTTAAGAGTAGAAATTCATTGGTTCCTACTACATTCTACAGTCATTGGTTTCTGTCTTCTGTCTTTTGTTGAGATCTGCTGACAGAAAGAAAGAAAAATCTATCTATCTATATGGAATGTAGCATTTATTCATTTTCCGTAACTGCTGTTGTGGGGGGCTGGAGCCTATCCCAGCTGACATTGGGCGAGAGGTGGGGTACACCCTGGACAGGTCGCCAGAGTATGGCAGGGCTGACATATAGAGACAGACAACCACTCACACTCACATTCACACCTACGGGCAGTTTATAGTCACCAATTAACCTAACCTGCATGTCTTTGGACTGTGGGAGGAAGCTGGAGTACCCGGAGAAAACCCATGCTGACACGGGGAGAACATGCAAACTCCGCACAGAAGGGCTCGCTCCTGGGATCGACCCAGGAACCCTCTTGCAGTGAGGCAGTGCTAACCACCACACCACCGTGCCGTCCCTCAGTTAGTATATGTTCACTTTAAATGAGATTAGCAGAAACCACATCAGCTGTTAACAGGCTCAGTATATTTACACTTGTCTGAAATGCAAATGCACAAATTGGTTATCTATATGCTTACAAAAGAAGGCAAACAGCAGATTTGAAACCCACTGAGAGTTTGTTTGTCTCCATTTGAAGAACCGTCAGTATATGCCTGCACCCAGAAACAGAGTCACACTGGGGCAGTGTAGTGTTTACATAGTTTTGCTGTTAATAATATACTGCTGCAGGCATTTATGATGACAGAGATCTTATGTTTTCCCCCCAACAGATGTGATATCTTGCTGAACATAATGTGTCAGTAGTTTTACTGTTAAGCCTCTTCTCCGTTAAGGGATTTTCTAGTCTTTATTTGCTTCCTCTCATCTCCATTTTATCTTTTTTACTGTCCACCCTGTTTGAATTTTGCAAAGTGATCTTACAAGCATACAAGCCAATTTATTTTAGCTGTGTGCCTTGTCATTACATGCTAATGCATTTCACTGAGCCATTCCCACCACCAGCTGAAGCCACTGGGAATGCTCAGAACGCGCAGTATTCCATGTAGCCAGGCTAGGCCCGCAGGTTAGACTCACTTACATTCACATTTGAACAGAGTCCCATTTTAAAAACAGTTCTGGTTAAGGAAACAAACAAAGTGAATAGGTGATAGTTACGGAAGTGTATTGCATTCACTCGACAAATAAAAAAAGCCCTGTTTTTCGGAGTATCTGAGTATTTTTTTCAGTTTTTCAGTTTTCACATCGCTCAATGTAACAGGTTAGGTTAGTAACAGGCTGTAACAACATTATCTGACAAACGTGTATGGGCATGATTTCAGTTGTCAGGTAACGTTGTTACAACCTGTTACTAACCTAACCTGTTAAATTGAGCGATAGGCCTACACTAGAAGGATGCAGTCGAAAACATAGCTAGATTATTATACTCTGTGTGTAACTAATTTTGTGCCTTACCTTTATTGATCCTGTAGTTGAAATTGTCTAGGAGTAGGGGCACAGATGCAAAATACATCCATGAGCAGGACTCACCATGGATGCAGGGGTCACTAGCAGGTGCCAGGTAGGAGCTTCTCATGAGATTTTTAAGTATCTCGTCTCCTCGTTCAGGAAAAACAATTACCATGGAAAACAGAAAAAAATACCCCGAAAGACAGGGAAAAAATTACCATGAAAAACAGAAAAAAAAATTACCACAAAAAAAAAGAAAAAAATACCCTGAAAAACAGGGAAAAAAAGTGCTCAGAAAAACAGGGCTTTTTTTTATTTGTCAAGTGAATGCAATATGCTTCCGTAGATAGTTTTCAAGTATATTCAGGAATACTTTTTTACTTAATCGCTAAATCAAATGTGTGTTTTTGTGTGTCCTCAGGCGGTGTTCGACTGTGTGGTCAATTCTTTGAAGAACGTGCTGAACATCCTAATTGTTTACATCCTTTTCATGTTCATCTTTGCTGTAATCGCAGTTCAGCTTTTCAAGGGGAAATTCTTCTATTGTACAGACGAGTCCAAGGGCCTGGAGAAGGACTGCAAGTTGGTCTCAAATCCCCCACTTCCTTATTTCTTGAAACATCAGTGTGTTTACAACCAGACCCTTGTACCTTTCTAACCCCACTGAGCTTAAGTTTTGCCTTCATGTCTTCCAGAGGACAGTTTCTAGACTATGATAAAGACGAGGTGGCTGCCATGCCCAGAGAATGGAAGAAATATGAGTTTCATTATGACAATGTGCTGTGGGCCTTCTTGACCCTCTTCACTGTCTCCACTGGGGAGGGCTGGCCAACGTAAGTGCAGCTGACTTGATTTCCTCTTTATATTACAGACTTGTGTAAGGCTGTCATAAAATGACATAAAGACAAAAACTTCATCTAAATATAGTAAAGGCTCTTAGAAGATTTTTAACTTTACACCTTATAAATCTAGTATATATTTGTGCAGAAAATCACATCCAGACATTGTCTGGGGTTTCCTTTTCACACATGTAGCACATAGCAGGAGACAACACGTCGCGTTCTTGCCTTCCAGAAATCCTCCTTTTGATTTAGGTGAGGGATGGTACCTGGGTTGAAAATGCAGGAAGCAGGGCATGATGCAAAACAAACACCCTGCAGGAGCAGCTGGTTTGTAATGTGGTCATAAACAATTGAGTCTCTTGCCGTTCCTTGAATTTGTCTGACGTTTTTGGCGTCAGTCCTTACCAACTGAAGTGCCGGAGTCTTGTGCTCTCTCAATTTAATAATTTTGTTGGCGTGTTTATTTAAATGACCCTTCTTTTCGTGTTCATCCTTGGATGTTTGTATTCTCCTGATTACTTACTAGGTGGCAGGGTAATGTCTGTTTAATGTCCATTTCAACTGATTCGGACATTTATGTTCTCACATACAGCTTCTCCAGGTAATGTCTAGATAAGTGTAGGGTTGCAGTAATACTACCAGGCCAGATATGTTACTGTATCTCACCTCCTGGCTGTTGTGTTGTGCTATGTTCTCCTTGCAGTGTCTTGAAGCACTCTGTGGATGCTACTTTTGAAGACACAGGTCCCAGTCCAGGCTACCGGATAGAAATGTCCATCTTCTATGTGGTTTACTTTGTGGTCTTCCCTTTCTTTTTTGTCAACATCTTTGTTGCTCTGATCATCATCACCTTCCAGGAGCAGGGAGACAAGGCCTTGTCTGAATGCAGCTTAGAAAAGAATGAGGTAAGGCAGATACATGACATTCAAATCAGAACTTTAATATTTTGTCAGTCACTATATCTTACAATGCTGTTATCACTATCTCCACCTCATTTCCTCCTTTTGTTTACTGGACATTCTTGAATGTTATTAACTGATTTGCATGAAACATTTGGGGAAGGTGTGATTCTAGACCTGTGTGCACTATTTACTGAGCACATATTTTTTAGGGCCGAGTCTAATCCAGTCTGGGTTAGTGAGATAAAACCACACAGTGATTAATGATGCAAGGCTGTACTGTCTGCTTTCTGATCCAGTTTCTGTCTGTTCTCATTAAGAATGTTTTGAATACATTTGATATTTACTACTGGAATCAGCACCATTGACATCCTGTATGCCAGTAAGTAAAGTAATGCCCAAAAGCAGGAGGAGCTGGCTCAAGTAGGTGATTTATTGGTAATAAAATGAATGGAGGAGTACTGGGAGGCAAAAGTCAGAGGATGGGAAGTGAAGCAGGGGAGCTGGGCTGGGGAAGCTGGCCAGGAGGTTCCAGAGTGGTGAGGTGAACGGAGCAGATGAGGTCCAGGTGTTTTCTCAATTCAGCAGGAGTTTCAGTGCAGGGGGAGTGCTGATGTAATGGCGGATGGTTACCAGGTGGAGAAGAAGTGGAGCAGGAGGCAGGAGTCAACTGGGAAAATGCTGCAGCCACAGGAAAACAGATATTAGTGAGCGAGTGAAAAGTACAGGATTAACAAAGTGGCATGAGCCTGACTGACTGGTAAGCAGAGTCTACGATCTGGTGGCGTGCTGAAGTTGGAGCCTGGTATTTGAAGCAAAGTTGATTGAAGATGATTTGCGGCTTTGCAGCTGCGGTCACTCCTTCGCACCAGACATAACTCCTATAATTAGAGCAAGAGAGGGAGAGAGAGAGGGGGAGGAGGGAAGCTCCTGGCTAGGAGGAAGAGGAGGCTGCAGCAGAGGCTGTGACATGTTTCTAATTAAATACAGTGCACAGACAAAATATTTTATGTTTTAACTGATAAACTTTATAGTTTTTGTAAATATACACTCATTCTGAATTTGATGCCTGCAACATGTTCCAAAAAAATGGGACAGGTGCATGTTTACCACTGTGTTACATTACCTGTTTTTGTTTCTGGGTCCCCTCTCTACATTCAGAGGTTTTTGCAGGTCTGTGAAAGCAGCGCAGACAGAACTCTTCACAATTATTTTTTTTCCTAAGCAGCAGTTTGTGGAGTTTTTAAATGTGGAATGTAAATTTAATCCGTCAGTCTGATCAAAGCTGATCAGATTACTGGATGAGAGGAGCAGCTGCTGCAGTTGAACTTTTAGACCCAGTGCAATGAGTGGTTAAGTTTCACTTTCACTGAGCTTGCCTTTCTGCTGCTCAATCTGTGCCCAGAGTACATTCTGTACTATTGGAGTATGAACGTTCCTGCTCCAAAAATAGAAAATGAAAACATGGCAGCAGTTGTTTTAATCATGGCAGGTTGCCATAAATATATTAATTTGTGGGGAAACCCTGCCAGGTACACAAACAACTTGAATGGGGTCTTGTGGGCAAGACGGATTGACTCAAACACAGATTCATGAACCAGGGCACTGGCACTTGCAGAACTGAGCAAGGCTTCTATATCATGCTGGAACACAGTTACTGGGCACGTTCATCTATGTTCTCCACTTTCCCCCCAGGAGGGCAACAAAGTAGCCATGAGGGCTGCTGGTGGACTCTGTTGTGGGCATAGGCACATCTGGTTTTTCACAATGAGCACATTTACATGCGCACAATAATCAGATAACTGGGAATAATCAGGTAACGGTAAGAATCCGATTTGACGTGTTTACATGCACTTCAATAATGTGATAATCAGAAAAACCTGGTTTACATGATTCAGTCCTTCAGTTGGATTTCTCCCCAAGTACATGACATAAAACTCAAACTTCCTGTTACAGTAGTTACTCATATCCTTGAAAAACCTCGAAAAGTACGCAAGTCATATATTTGCAAAATAAAGCACTCATCATGCTGACAGCTTATATTCTTACAGTACTGTTTGTTTTTATCATTAACAAATACATGTGAGAGCATTCTAATGTGTAGTTTATCAATGTGGAGCCAATTTTACATACTTTGGGTAGATTCGTAGTAAAAGTACTGCAAAGTGCAATATACAAGTGTGTTGTATATAAACTTGTCACACAAAGTGCATAACATATAAGTAAGATAAAATAAAAGTGACAATTTAAACACTGAGAATATAAAAATATATTATTTTATGTAAAATCTTTATCTGAAAGGAAAAAAAAGATGTCAGATTAACGTAGAGGAGTGGAGTAGAAAGTACAATATTTCCCTCTAAAATGTAGTGGCATGGGAGTATAAAATAGCAAAACCCGAAAGAAACCAGATTAAAGGGTACACATGCACAGAATAATCTGACTATTGGGGAAAAAGCTAGATGTGTTTATCTGATTTCTCATAATCAGATAATGGCTTTTATCTGATAAAGCCTATCGGATTATGCTGTTTACACGACCACTTGAATAATCAGGTAACTCCACAAATCAGATAATGATCGGTTTATTAGTGTGCATGTAAATGCATTCAGTTTCAGGAGACTCTGGGCTCAGGACTCCTTGCTGCAGCACCAGTTGATTAAAAACTCTGTAAGGTTGCCTAGAGGGAAGATTGGCTGGATTAGGACCTTTTTGGTGAAGCACAGTTGGCCGAGCTGGGACAGGAGCTATCATCTCTTGATGGGTTGGGTGGAGCATGCATAAGACTACCCTGGTACTGCTCTATTGCTTTTACTAAGACTGTAGCTGTTGTCAGCTTCTGGTGACTGATTATCTTTTTGACCTTAAGGCAGGGCTCTTAGTTAACAGTCCATACCAATGGTCTCTGTAATGGCTGCAGGGCTGTTCTTGTCTGATTCTACCCACTTTTTAGTCACTCGATCAACTCATGCATTTGGGAACGTGGAGTAATCCCAGTTTGGAAAGTCCAGTCATAGAAATGTTGAGCCATGCTAAATTTTGTAGGGCCACTGCAGCTCAGAATCTCTCCCTCAGTCCTGCTTCATTTAAGTGGCTTGAGCGCTGTAGTGACCAAATTGTTCTGACTTGGGCCAGAAAATTGGACTGGACCGCTGATCAGCTCTTTGTTAGAAACTCTTTCATCAAAACCACTGGAGTCTTAAAAGCACTCTGAAGAACAACCCTAAAGGCAGGCAAGATCCAACACAAAAGAGTTTATTTGTGCTCAGAGACAGCAGCAAGCAATAAACTGTCAGTTCTGGAGCACATTAAGGTCTGTACAGTTCTGCACTCTTCTCATATACCCTTGAAAGCTCCTCCTATACAGCATCTCGTTCTGTAAGTCTCCACCTCAGTTTCAAAATTTTACTAATCATAGGCTTGTGGATACTGGAGTCATGATGATGATTTTTTACTTTTTAAAAAAACATGTATCAGCTCACAGTATGATATGTTATCATGTGGCCTTGCTTTTAACCGTTTTTTAAAATATGTTAAATTAATTTTATTCTTCCATTAGATTATTAGATTTTAGTCTCATTCCAAATATTTAAAAAAACAACCTACTTTCAAAGTTTTCAAGAAAGTTTTAATTCACACAATAATGATTTAATCCAAAACACAGTGCTTTTGATTAAACATTTAGTACTCTTGATTTAACATTTGAACTAGCACAAGCTATGATGTCTATTATCAACAGCTTTGTTCTTATTAACTTTAATAAAATAAAATAAAAATAGTAATAATAATAATAATGATAACTTAAATAAAACAAACAAACAAAAACCACAACAGCATTCAAGAACTTCACCTGCATTCTGGGAGATGTAGTATAAGTCGCAGCAGCGGTGGTGGTGTGTCTTCCTCAAGCCAGGGACTACACTCTTCTGGGCAGAAACCTCAGATGTCGCGCCTGGAATCTGCTGGAGCCACTCTTCCAGTTTGGGGATCACAGGTCCGAGTGCTCCGATTTCCACTGGCACTACTGTTGCCTTTACTGTTGCCATCTTTTCTAGCTCCTCTTTCAGCCCTTGGTATTTTTCCAGCTTCTTGTGCTCCTTCCTCCTGATGTTGCTGTTGCTCAGAATTGCTACATCTATCACTACGGCCTTCTCCTATTGTTTGTCGAACAACACAATGTCTGGTTTGTTAGCCATCACCATTTTGGCAGTATAGATCTGGACGTCCCATAAGATCTTTGCTTGGTCATTCGCAACCACCTTAGGATGTGTCTTCCATTCTGACCTTGGGACCTTCCAATATATAGTATATTTAAAGGCGCTGTATGTAAGAATGTGGCCAAAATGGTTACTGCACTCAAATTCAAAATACTGCCACGAGTCGTGTCTGCCCCCCTCCCCTATACAGCTGAGGAGAAGCCGGCTGCTAATGCTATGTACCGGGACACTGCTAATGCTGCTGCCGGGATACAGCTGAGGAGGAGCCGGCTGCTAATGCTATGTACCGGGACACTGCTAATGCTGCTGCAGGCATACAGCTGAGGAGGAGCCGGCTGCTAATGCTATGTACCGGGACACTGCTAAT